TCTATGTGCTTGCGTCGTGTCTTTGTACTTGGTCTTTCAACGACTTTTTAGTCGTAGCGCCATCTATGAGAAATCTATTACAGATTTATCACCCAGTTAGTACCTTTACAGCTACCGTCCTGGCGAGACATGTCGCTATTCACTGTATTAATTAAATTTTTATTGAAATGATATTCAATTCTTTTTTTGTGAAATTACTCCACTAGTTTGTTATAATTATTAATACAAAGATCGAACACTCAGAAAAAACACTCAGAAAAAATTCCTTCGATCCGGTCGGATTCGAACCGACGTCTTCTTGCATATCGTGCCAGACGCTATACCAACTAAGCCACGGAACGAACCAACGGACCTCACGAATTTTTTCTATGTGCTTGGTCTTTCAACGACTTTTTAGTCGTAGCGCCATCTATAAGAAATCTATTACAGATTTATTATCTATTACAGATTTATCGTTCCGTGGCTTAGTTGGTATAGCGTCTGGCATACTCTGGAATTTTTTCTGAGTGTTTTTTCTGAGTGTTCAATCTTTGTATTAATAATTATAACAAACTAGTGGAGTAATTTCACAAAAAATAATTGATTATCACTTCAATAAAAATTTTTAATTAAATTTTATTTTTTAATTTAATTTCTCCATTAAGTCTTTTTTGTAAAAACTGTGGCATAGTCAATTTCTTGGTCAACCGTGAGTTGTCCATAAAAATGAATAAAATTGATCAAATTTTTTTTTGTGCTAGTCGACTCAATTTTATGAAAGGATTATTTCATTGTATGGGATGACAAAATCGGGACAGTAGAAGTTGGTCATAAAATATTTTTCATACAAAATTAATTAAATAAACTTAATCATTCATAAGACAGTTTCCTTGTATCTTCTATGGTTTTGGAGTTCCCCATACTGCCCCATTTATAAAAAAAAACACTGTATACTCTAGAGGCACTACCCAGAACACCTAGACTCGATTTAGAAAATTTAGTTTTCTACATTAGTTTAACCGAGAGTCGAGTCTGGAACTATCCTCTTGCAACATGTAGGGTACGTACCACGTACGTATCACGTATGTATCTCTGAACCACTAAAATTGCCTTTGGTGGAAACGATAAAGTACGAAAAGCACTTCTACCTTTTTGTTCACTCTTTACATTATTATGAGACAAATCAAGTGTTAACTATACATTACTAATACTAATTACAAAACCACTACATTGTGTAATACATAAGCGGCAATCGTTCAAGAAATATGTCGAAAAATCAAATATTGCATCGCACAACATCAAGTGTACACTTGACTCAAAGTCATTTGCAATACGATGAGGTATTGATTACGAAAATTGATTTAAAACATTGTATTGAAATGTATTTGTAAAGTTTATCTATATGGCTATATTATTAAGCAATAATATATTGTTGTGTTCGCGGCCTTGGAGGCCCAAAGATCTGACGTTACTTTTCATCACTTTTTAGACATTTAAATGAGTGCCCCTAAAATTGACTATAATTGTTAATAATAATAATAATTATTATAATAATTTCGTGCCTTTTTCTATCAATCGACAAGTCGTAAGTTGCCCTGTGTAACCGCTTTAAATCGTCATCAGAGCTTCAAAGATCTGAGAGTCACCATTACTGTTTCCACCACCTCGTTAAGTTGACAATTCCCAAGTGCCTGTAATCACCAGCATCTATCAAAACTACCTTACACTACCCTTCAAAACTGGTACGCATGAATGCTCACGTTACATGGCTTGGCGGCAGAAATAGGTGAGGTGGCAGTACTTCCCTGGACGAATTCTTTTACAAGGAGTTCTGCTACTAACAAGTGCCTACTAACCCCGATGGGAAAAGGGCATGAAGTATTAATATATAGTTTAAAGGGTATTGATTAATTGTTTTAGACTATTGAATAACACATCTTTGCTAGCGATATTAATGTGGGATGGAAATAAAACGTAGAAATTGTTTTTCTCACTTTTATTTTAAAAATTTAGGAAAACAACTCGCACGCAACCACCAGTATCGAGAGCCATAGCCAAAGAGAGGTCATCTGTCATCCGTCACCTCCATCCTTCCCTCTCACACTTCATCGTTCAGAAACAAATCTTTCACTCCGTTGACAATCCTACATTAATTATATAAGAAATATAATGACGTAGACAGACAGACAAAAATCGTACAAGATTATTGACTGTAGATTATTGTCCTTATTACACTCTGTGTACGTTTAAAATAAAATACTTGCTTAACCGTTGAGCCACTTGATTTTATATCGAGTTCTTAGGTTTTGTGCGATTATTATACATAGAAAATGAAAATGGTTTTTCGGATTTAAATCGAGTATATTTGTTTTTTCGAACAAACCAACGTATCCCCCTTTACAGGTCCTATGGCCATGGGTGACGGAGATCCAGTTATGTCTAATATTTATGCAAACCACCCCCTATATTTCATTATTGTTACAAAAAATATTAATGAAGTACCTTATTTTTAAGTGGTTCCAAAGGCTATACCTGTTTTTTCAAATGGTTCCAAAGAATGTTCCAATTTACGCGACATATGTTTTACAAATATTTAATTTTAACAATATAAATTATTTATTGAATAAATTAAATCATATTAATTAGTACTTGCAGTCTCATGTCTGCTTGGGATTTTTCATCAGAGGAAATACTGAATTCCAAACTGGTGGTACGGAGAAACCATCTTCCCTGTTGAAATAAGGATTTTTTTTAATTTCAATGGCCCCTCGCAGTATCCTGGTTAGTAACGAACTTCTTTTGCAAGGACCTGAGGTTTGTCGAATTTAATTGAGTGTTCAGGTTTATTCATGACATGCTCGCATGCCACTTGAGTTTGTCAAATGTTGTGGATATGTGAAACAAAACATTAAAAATTAAATTCCACTATTTCTTTGCTTTCAAATTATTAAAATGACAGATTTTGAAAAAACACTGCATTATTTTGGGGATTTCACTAGAGTTCCGCTAAGTGTGCCGGTATGTGTACATTCATGAATACGGTTTTACATGAGAAATATTTTCTCATAGCCCTCTACACAACGCGGTTACATTTTCATTTAATAATTAAACTTTTTATTATTCTCCCACTTTTTTTTATAAAGTTCTATCAATTGTTAATTCTTGGAGTAGGTTGTGTACTTTCTACAAACAAACACTTACCCCATTTTGTATATTAAGATTCAATACCGTAAAATGTGGTTTAGAAACAAATTTACATTCATAAAACTGGTCTCAACGGTAAAATCAATTTGAATTTCTTAAAACGGTATGTGGTTGAGTAACATACATTTTTACCGCAGGTTCAATAAGTTTCATATTTAGTAGATCAATAGCTGTTGTTTGTGGTTATTTTGTACCTCACAGTCAATACAAAAATTGTTAGCTATGTTCTAAATGAGAATTAAGGGCATTATTTATGCACCGTTCCATCCATTTCATAGGTACTGTATTCCGAAATATTATTATGTATAGTACACTCATGAAAAGTGTCTAGAGATCAAAGATTTTGTTTTTTTTTTAATTTGATTACCCTATAATTTAATGTGTTTGGCATTGTTTGTGAATTACATAATGTTAGTTTTATTGTGCATGTAACCTTTTATTGTAGCTATTGTGGTCCTGTATTTTGTAAATTTCTTTTGGAAAGAAATTTATTTTGGAACTAAGTAGTGTAACAAACCTATTTTATATTATAGGCTTTACTAATCAACTTTGTTTGTAAAATAGTTCTTTAAAGATCCGCTAGATGGCATTGACCCTTTTTACTTAATTCCTCCATCGCGGTGTTAAGATTTTCCCTCGGATGGTGACTACTTGAACCGAATTTTATTTAAGTGTGAGAAACATCAGTATTACAGGTACGTTTCTAGGAGTTGAGTCCTTGTAAGAACGACTGCCTGGACCTATTGATAGTTACTGTTATACTTTTTGCATCTGTACCCGTAGTACCGCTCTCGCCGGTTACAATTAACTTGGCACTTTGTATTTTATTATTTAAAACCTGAAATTGGACTGCAAGTCTTTTACCCAATTTGGTGACATCATCAAGGAAGAAAGAACCTCCTCTACAGTAGAACTTAGTAGTTTTTTCTGTACCGTAAATGATTAAATAAATATTATAATGTCAACTTACGTCTCAGAGGTGTCCACTGCGCCCGTCACCCTGAGAGACACTAGCCCCTCTTAGTTTCGTTACGGAAAGGAAGTTACTTTAGGCACCTAACGAGGAACGTCGACTGCAACGTTGCAACCTTTGACGCGAAAGTGTCTATTTAATAATCTCAGTACAGAGTACTAAAAAAACCGACCTCAAAAGTACGTGTAATTACATATAATTACCGTTTTATTAAAATCGGTTACCAGAAAGTGCGCAGCATCCTGGGTAGATAACGGTCTTCTTTTGCAAGGATCTGGGGTTTGTCATACGTCATTGAATGTGTAGGTTTATCCATAACATGCTCGCAGACTGCAGACTTGTTTACGCGACGGTGTTTGACATCAGCAATATGTTCTTTGACGAGGGTACAAATACTTCGCTTTGTTTGTCCAATATAAGAGAGACCGCACTCACAGTCAAGCTTGTAAACTCCTGCATCCTGCAAGAGGATGTTACATTCTTCCATGAAGAATCATCTGGCAGGGGAACTTCAGCATATAAAGCAAGTCCTACATGCGAATAAGTTGAAGATTCCACGCCAAAACCGCAGGCCCCGTGAGAAACCACCAACAGTCGAGCGAAGACCTGCCATCTTACCTTACGTGAGAGGTAGTACAGACAAGATCGGAAGAGTCCTCAGGCGTGCATCTATCAAGACCTATTTTAAGCCCCTGAGGAAGATTTCTTAGTTCCTGAGACCCGTGAAATGTAGGGGAGACCGGGTACAAAAGTAACGGCGGGTCGAAAGTAACAAATGCTCTGTAGAATTGTCCAATAACCGAAACAACGCGCGCGACCGTTGAATATCAGCATTCGACGCCCCCCGCACTTGAGATCAGTCGCCGCGCCCGCGCTGCGCTGTTAGGTTGTGTTAGAGGACGCTACGTGATTTTACGAACCAAAAGTAAGTTTTTTTGTGTTTATTGATTTAGTATTTTCGTAATGTTCAGATGATGATATCAACCTGACTATTTGCCTTGCAATTTGTAATTATATTGTCCGTAACATGTTATAAACGATTTTTGTGCAACACATTTAATTTTAAAGTACTGACATATTGCAACAACAAATCGTGGTTGGGTACAAAAGTAACATAACACGACGAGGACAAAAGTAACATGTTACTTTTGTCCCCGTTGAATCATGATATCAGTAAGTATGAAAGTCTTTAATTTTTTTTATTGTTTTGCCGAAACAGAATGCCGCGGCAGCGAATTAGAAAAACAGAGAGAGGCACCACTAATACAGCAGTCTATAAAAAAGCAGCAGATGAGCATTTTCAGGACAAAACGAAGATAAGAGCACTGGCAAAAAAATACAACGTATGCCACGTAACATTATATAGATTTATACAAAAACTTAAATCAGGGAATACTAATGTAAAAGTTGGCTACCGTTGCGTCAACCGTGTTTTTACTCCTGAAGAGGAAAATGTTTTACAGGACTATATTATTGAATGCTCCAAAGTATACTTCGGATTGATTCCGACTGAAGTGCGGAAGTTGGCGTACGAATTAGCGCTTAAATATAAAAAGAAATTTCCGGAGAAGTGGAATGAAAATCACACGGCGGGCAAGGAATGGTTAGCTGGATTTTTAAAACGACATCCCATCCTATCTCTGAGAAGCCCACAGGCAACGAGCCTGTCTCGCGCCTCGAGCTTTAATGAGTATAATGTAAACAAGTTTTTTGATAACCTATCAGAAGTTATGGATAGGTATAAATTTGAGCCAAGAGATATATGGAATATAGATGAAACAGGGGTGACGACAGTCCAAAGACCTAACAAAATAATATGTCAGAGAGGAATTAAACAAGTAGGCGCAGTGACGTCTGCCGAACGTGGGAGGTTAGTAACTGTTGCTGTTGCTATTAATGCTCAAGGAGGACATATACCTCCATTTTTTGTATTTCCGTTGAAGCGATATCAAGACCACATGATACGTGAAGGTCCTATTGGATCTGCTGGTGCTGGAAATGCTAGCGGCTGGATGCAAGAAGCAGAGTTCTTGCTGTTTTTGGAACACTTCAAAAAACAAGCCAAACCCACTACTGACCAAAAATGCCTGCTCTTGCTTGACAATCATGTATCACATGTATCAATTCATGCCCTCGATTATTGTAAGATAAATGGAATAGTGTTGCTGTCATTTCCTCCCCACTGTACACACAAATTGCAACCCCTGGATAGAGCGGTGTTTGGACCATTCAAGAAAATGATAAATACTGCTACAGATAATTGGATGCGAAATCATCCCGGTCAAACAATGACTATACATTACATTCCTGGGATTGTCAGAGAAGCATTTCCTCTTGCCGTCACCGATAGAAATGCTATTGCAGGTTTTACCTGTACTGGTATAAGTCCATTTAATAGGAATATCTTTTCCGCGGTTGACTTCGCACCGTCTTCTGTAACAAATCGTACCTTGCAATCTAATAACGAAATTCAACCGTCAGCCATCGAAGTTGATCGGATGATTGAAGCAGATCACCTTCCAGAACTAGGATCGAGTAACAAACTTAATGCCCATTCAATTAGATCTAACAATCCCGAACTGGAAACTCTTCGGAGTGTATCGAACATTCAAACAGATGATGGAAATCAGTTCTTAAACCCTGCTAGCTCACATCCATCACCAAGCTCGCCACAGCCAGGACCTAGTGGACTTCAAGCATCTTTTACACGGCCAATTAATTTCTCACCCCAAGATATAAGACCTCTACCGCGAGCTGGTATACGATCCGGAACAAAAAGAGGTTATAAAAAGCGTAAAACTGCGATACTTACTGACACTCCCGAAAAAAGAGCAATTGAAGAAGAATATAACCAAAGAAATAAAGCCAAGAAACCAATATTCCAACCCACTACAGGAAAAGGCAAGAGAAAATTACAATCTGCAAAAGGAAAAGGCCATGGAAAGAAGACGAGGAACCCTCCTAGAAGCAAAGGAAAGGAGAACCAGACAACAGCAAACAGCAATTCTTCTGATGACGAAGATTGCTTTTGCATAGTTTGTTTGGAGTTATTCAGCACTAGCTTACCAAACGAGAAGTGGGTACAGTGTGTTGATTGTAAAAAATGGTCTCACGCTGCGTGCACCAAAGATGATTCATATTACGTTTGCCACAATTGCGAGTCTGAATAGAAACATGAACCTCATTAAAGTTGATCTCATTATGCCTAAGAGTAAACTATTATTTAAAAAGAAGAAGATATTAAGTTCTTTGTTATTCTTGAGAAGAAATATTTTGTTTCGTTTTATTTTATCTCTTATATCTCTAATAAATAATATGATTTAATTTTGTGTTTCAGTTTCATTATACATATAATATTGCACAGGACCCCCTCGGTGTTACTTTCGCCCTGCACTGTGTTACTTTCGTCCTGACCCTCAGGACGAAAGTAACAATCGACTTTTTTTTTTGCAGCTTTGTAATTGTTATAAAAAAAACATGTATGAAATAAAATTATAATGTACGTTTGTAGAGTATAGACGAAACTTGTGTAGAGTTAAATTAATTTGATCGAAAATTTGATTGATAGCCAGAAATCAAAGAAAAAGTGCAAAGTGTTACTTTTGTACCCGGTCTCCCCTACCCGTGTATGACCCGAAACGTCGGTTTGTTTGAAAAATCAAATATACGCGATTTAAATCCGGAAAAATAGTTTCATTTCCTATGTGTAACAACCAAAGAACTCGATATTTTCATATTACATTTTTGTTTGTAAACAATAGGACGTTCGGTAACTTTCATTCGATAACTGTGTTCTAAATAATGTCTGTAGCCTTTGCCGGTCGAGAAGTTGTGTACGGGTGTGACGGGCACGGGTAAGTACGGGTGTGACGTCATTTCGGTTCGGTTTCGTATACGACAGTTTGACGTTTGATTCGATTATTGTGAAAAAAAATGAAATGTAATCATAAGTTATCTAATCGAATCGGTTGAGAACAGGGTTATCGTGGTTCTGAATCGACCTGCAGGTTGGCGGGTGCATCGACAATTTGTTCAAGTAAGGATTTTTTATTGTGCTATGCGATTCAGACGATAGTCCACTTCACACGCTTGAGAAATTAACGGCGGCTAATGACGCGGTCAGTGTGCCCAAGTTCCGAGCCGCAATAATAATATTGTAGCTATCAGTGCGAGAGGAAGATGAATGCCAAGTAAAAAGTATTCCGACTTATTTTCTTGATAAATCGGAAGCAAACGCCACCTGGGAAGGAAATATTTGGAGCTGACTAACAAGTGGAAACGGTTCGGCTAAAGTGCCATCCCTTTTTTTAGATCAGCATTTTCAAGAGTCTATACTACGTCAAATGGCTTTGGTTGATTCTGCATAGCAGTGAAAGTGTTGAAGCAATCACTTTGGAAAAAATATAATATATCTAGTAAAATATACACTGATGATATGGTGTGAAAACACGATACCTAAAAATTTTCACGATGGAAAAAAAAACAAGAATTGTGTGCCTCGAAATTTGACAAGAAAGCCGCTTAATTTCGTATTCAATAGGTCGATATCGTATTAATAGGTACTGTTTATATAATGATTTTTAATGATTATGATGATAATGATTTTTTTTATATCAACTGTACTAAATGAACGTATACTATTTATACATTTTTCAAATAGTTTTAATTTTGTTTGTTACAAAATAAATTCTGAAATAAAGCCTGCCGCTCGACCCAAGCAAATCAACCGTATTAGTATGGGGAAAATTTGGATTTTATCGTATTAATTTACAACTGCACTCAAAAAACAAAGCTGCGTCTATTGAGGATCGATAGAGGTGTTTAGTTCCTATAAAAAAGTTTTTTCATCATGTAAGTACAAAATCATTGCCATAACAAAGTTTTGTTGTCTTGAAACACCAATGTCGTTGTGCCAACAAAGATTTTTTTTAAATGTGTATTGTCAGATTGGAACAAAGAGAAGATAATTACTGTCACATTATGTGCATATGTGCATCTTCTTGCAAGATAGAATAATCCATCTGTCAATGCCATCTAGTTTGTTTTATGTGTAGTGCTGGAAAAATGATCATAGAGAAATTGACCCAAACAATTCACAACAGGCAAATAAGTAGGCGAACCAACAACCTACATAGTGTAGTAATGTATATGCAAATGATTTTTTTACTTACAAATCGAAAGTGACTGTAGTACGCACGAAAAGTCAAGGTTTCTAATATGTTAAGTTCCGCAACAATCAATTGACATTACATTTCTTTTAATAAAATCAAGTTTCGGGACGAACAAGACCTGCGCCTGATGGTAAGCTGCATGCCTGTCCATAACAGTTGCAGTGCCACAAAGCTCTTTAAATCGCAAAGATCTGAGGCGCACTGCCACTGCGCCTGTAACCCTGAGACATAAGTTGACAAGTCCCATGTCCCTCTAATTTCACCCGCACCCTTACCCTTCAAAACCGGAACACAGTAATGCTGACATTATTGCTTAGGGGCAGAAATAAATAAGGTGGCAGTATCGAGTTTTTAGGTTTTCGCGATTGTTACACATAGGAAATGAAACTATTTTTCCGGATTTAAATCGCGTATATTTGTTTCAGTCAACCGTGACCATGGGACCTGTAAAGGGCCCGAAACGTCGGTTTGTTTGAAAAAACAAATATACGCGATTTAAATCCGGAAAAATAGTTTCATTTCCTAAGGTGGCAGTACTTCCCTGGACAAACTCTTCTGTATGCCTTAAGTTATATTCAAGAACTCGGAATTTCTCTACATTTACTACACAATCTACGGGCCATGGTGATTGAATGGAAATATCATGTACAAAATAGTTAATAGCTCTATAGATACAATTTGTATCGATTAATGGATAATAATACGGTAAGATCTGTCCAAGGAACGGACTGATTACTAAATTACACGTTATTTTCAGACTGCTAACTTTATTTTAGTACGTAAAGGCAATATAGTGAAGTTTTGGTAGTAAATCTAGGAATGCAGTTAAATAGAAAGGATAGCTTTATGATTCTCTACTAAAGATTTATACCCACTATGAGATCGCGTTAAGTAGTAATCTAGTGAATAATTACTTTCCTGTTTTAGTAGAAACCTAATATATTATATATACATATACCAAGTACATTTAACGGCCCCAACTTGCTTAAATTAACGTATTGGTTTAGAGATACCCTCTCCTTAGTAGAAACTTTAGGTTGTATATATAGATATACACACCTAGATTGCAGTAAATTCGTTGAACGATGGAAAAATAGAGCCAAAAAAAATGCATGTGATATAAATAGATTAAGTGAAATTGTCACACTTTTGATAACAAACAAATCATCAGGAAATGTTTAAAATTACTTTCAGAACTGTAAAAAAATATATACAACAAGAGCCTATTATAGAATCTGTAAAAGAAAAATATAGTTATGTTGCAGCAACGCTTCAAAATAATTAATTATTGTTACACTTAAGTTTAATGAAGCGATGAATAGTGAACGTATGCAAGAAAAAATACTGAGACAAGCGAAGTCAAGGCTGAAATTTAAACACGCGGAAGGTAAGAAGGAAGTCAGTTTGATTATATTAAAGCATAAAGTTTTGTATTTACATATCACTGTAAAAGGGACAGCTATAGTCAAGAAGAGAATACTTGGTTGGGAATTAGTTAAGTCAAAATTAATAGTAAATCATTTAGAGAACGATCGATTTTGAAAAATAACTGTAGATATTGGAAATTCATATTGGAATGTCATTTTTTATTTTAGTTTCCTGGTTGCAGGTTAATACTGTCTGGCTCGTTTATTATCACTTATTTATTGATCGTATAGTTCATAAAATAGTGTTAGATGCGTAACTATGCTACTGTTCATATTTCAATCTTTCTGACGTATTATATAACTTCAACGCGATATAATTAACAACTAATAATACCGTTACTACTACAATAATTATCATTAAACGTTTCAACACAGAAAGGCGGAACAATTGCTACATATTTACAATGCTGAATGGTCCACGTGTCATGTGTGATAAAACAAAAACCAACGAAACGTAGCAAAATTTCGAAGCAAAAACTAAAAGAATTACAAATCTCCGCTTAGTAACCCAAAAGAGCGTGATCGCGCCACAATTTTTCACGGACGAATAGTTTTCCGATACTTATCAGAAAAATACGCTACAAATATGGCCAGACAGTATGGTGGATGAAGAAAAAGAACTATCGCTACCAGTTTTTGCAGTCGTAATTAATTACAGAAAAAACGTGAACGGTTTACCGATGTATGTAGTGTACATCATCTTGATTTAGTGTCGTCTACGGAAATTATTAGAGCTATGTTTGAATATTAAGACTATTATTATTTCTTTAAAGTTTTAGAACATCTTAATCTATATGTAATTCGCAGTCGATTTAAGTCAAGCATTTGATGCACGCGATATGAGCACTAAGCGTTTTTCAACTAGAGTTGTCTAGAAAATGAAACTATACTAAGACTTGATGATATTGAATATGCAGATTTATTACTGAAGCAATAAGTGAGAACGGTAGTATTGTTTATTACGGAGTAGTAATTGCAACAATAGTGCATAAAATAGTTGTACTGACTCGGTATTTTTTCAAACTACTTTCTCTGCATCCCAACTCGCGATGAATGCTTAGAAAACTGGAAGAGACGCTTCCGACACAGTTGTTAACGTGGGACTTTAGTGAAGGAAATGCCAATTTTACTTTAATTAGACAGGATTGTTAGGAAAAGCGGAAAATGTCTTTAGAAAGCAGCCATTAAAGCCGGGCCTCTTAAAGGAACTCCTTTATATTCTTGTTGAGGAAATGTATTGTTTTGTACTTCTTAAAGGTTTCATTTGACAATTTTATTACATCACTAATATATTTTTATTTACTTTTATGTACTTATAAAATGACAATGATTAGTAGCAAACTGCACGTCGTATTTTGCAGATATTTTCCATAAATATTGTTCTGAATCACAATTCTCATTATTATATGTAAAATTAAGGTACATGTCGCATTAGAATGACAATTGGCATTGTTTAAGATTTGTTTTGACATCCAGAGCGCAACTCTGTAGACCATACATCCGTTCATAATTCTGAATTGTAATTAACAACTTGTGTCAATTGTCTGTCAGTACCTGTTTCTTGAGACTATTGTTTGCGGCAACGTGCCGTGAAGGTTCAATATCCAATAACATAACCGCCGCCAATACATGGCTGCAATGAACGACGGTCTACGTGCTTGCGCGAAACACTTTCGAATGCATTTACCAGCGCGGCTGCGACCTCTAAAATCATAAACGTGTGTAACTCGCCAGCAGGTGACACAAAAACTGAGCAAAATTAAAAAGTCATAATAATTACCTTGGTGGTGTTTTGCATTTGTAGAAACGTTGCTATGCCAGCTCGCACGCGGTTCTTTACCCCGCGTATGGTCCCTTTCGAACTTCTAATAGTCGACGGCGCTTCCTCTGTATTAAAATCCTTTACACCAGCGAAGAATTCCACTTCATTAACACATTCACTTTTGGCACTAACACTTTTCACAGGTTTGTCTTCATCAAACTGTTTCTCGTTAAGATGGAACTCGTAAAACTTATCCGTATCAAAATAATGACTGCTGTAACACACACGCTCGTGTTTCAGCTGTTCCTGGTTCTTTCGCTCCTCGTACGTGCTCTCGCTAATCAGTGGCACTTTTTCTAACAAATTTACTGGTAGTGACTCTGTTTCTGCATTTCTCTTTGCTTCAGTATTAAACTGTGAAACTAGACGGAACGATGTGAGTTGTGCGCTTTCTTTTGATATATTAGCATTCCCATTAATATTCTGGTTTGCTTCCCGTTGCTCGCCATTCAACTCACTTTCGGTTTCGATCGTACTGAGCTTAGCTGAGCGGTCTCTAATATCTTGAAGTAAACCTTGCGGTAGAAAGCTGCTGTCTATGTTGGTCGCTTTGGTAGCAAACGATAGTATCGGAGAAGCAACAGATGTTTCTGCACTGTATTTCTTTTCTTTTTTGCTCGTTTCCTCGCTGTGATGACTTTCGTCGGCGTGCACGTTGCCGTTTAGCTCAGTACTGTTTAGAGAATCACACGATATATTTGAATCGTTATCCTCGAAATCGAGTTCGCCTTGATTGTTTTTCGTTGAACTAATTACCGTTACAGACACAGCTTTCTTTGTGCAATTAGATTTAGATAATTTCTTTTTCGGCAGCGGTGGTGGAGTACCGTCAAGGTCACTACAAGTCCCTGAATCGAGAGTATCACTTGGAGAGCATTGACCGCTCGACATGACCATATTAGTTATGGAGTTGACAAAGGAATTGCAATAAATGTAAGGCGGCTTATCGGTTTTCAGTAGTTCCTCATTTTCGAGGATTTTAGGTCTGCTTTCGTCAACATTGAGTCTGACTAAACTGTTGTTCTTTTTGCAGATGTCATTTATCTTGAACGTTTCGAAGTCAACGTCACTCTTGAGATGGACACTGGATATTTTGGGTGCTTTTGGTTTGTCTGCGTCGGGATTGATTCGGATAGTTACCACGTGAGGGCCGTTAGTAGGGGCGTCCGTGCCAGGCGTGTTCGCGGGTCGTTCTGGCTGGGTCGCCGCTACGAATACCGTTGCAGTTGGTGTCTTAGAATTAAGGACGAGTGAGTGCATCGAACTCAGTTCATTCCGGCTTTCGGTGGCAAACCCGTTGAGTTTATCGTCTGCGGTTATTTGCGTGAATGTTGTAGATCCTGCCCTCTGTTTCGCTTTTGGCGGGAGTGGGGGGATGTACTCCACACTTGGCCGAGGTGTCACCTCCTCCATCATTGTGGCGTGCTATTAAACTAGCATAATTAGCTAACGGAGAGTCGATTGAAATGCGAGTCAGGTCCGCTCAGATGGTTGTATAAGGCATAATGGTTCCGGTGACCAATCGAGAGTAGGTCAATCCACAGCTGGGTTGTTTTTCTAGCGCGTGCCGGTATTTACATCTGCGAAGAGAATATTCATTGGTTAATAACATTGGTCATTATCGACGTCAATTTCTATGAAGTAGTACATTGAAATGTTTAAAAAAAACTTTAATTGCATATTACTATGGGAGTTGATAGAAATTGAGTCAATTATCTTTAATTTTAGACTTAAAGTCGAATATATTAGATTTTATTTCTTGATAATTATAGTTGTAAATAGTTGTAAAATTAATTTAAACATGTAAACAAAATAGCTAAGTATTCATCGTCATTAATCCATTTAGACGTCTCACTGCTCTCTCAGGAGGAGGACGGCTTAGGTAATAGTCCGCCACCTTGGACCAATGCGGGTTGCGTTTTCACACATTTTCCGAGGGCTTTTAATCTTCTTCGACGTGCAGGGTTCATTGCGATGTTTTCCTTCACCGAAAAGCTTACGCGCATAAATTTTGAGAAACTCAGAGGTGCGAACCCAAGGCCTCTGTTTGAGAAGCTGTAGGTCAAATATTAGGCTACTAGGCCTGTAAGTATCCTCGCACATAACGATACAAACATTGGAATATACTTGGTACTTGGTGCAACGGGCTGGTATCCGCAACTCGACGACAAAGCGCCTATTTTACATTGGAATATAACAAGTATTTTATATAGACTATTCACTTTTATAATAAACAATCACATGTTTTGATGCTGTAACAGATTCAGAGGTGAAGTGTAGGCAACGTTTAAAATCAATACACATATCAATACTTTATAGAATAGCGGTGTACCTCAAAATCAATCTAATTGTATTATAATTATTAATACAAAAATCGAACACATAGATCTAGATGTCACTAGCGGCGACGAATGCCGAAAGCCAGTATAAAGATCTATAACTTGATCTAAGACTCACTCGTAACTTAACCAGTGGCTCAGTTGGTAAGAGCAATGCTACGATGAAGCATGGTCGCGGGTTCAAAGGTCTTGAACCCGCGACCATGACCGGGTCGAAGAAATGTTCGTATGTGTTCGATCTTTCCATTAATAATCATCACAAAACTAATGGAGTTATATTTCAGAATAAAACCTCAATAATACATTCAATCTAATTCAACAGGAAGATGGTTGAAAAACAACTGAATCATATTCACGTGCAAAGCCGACGAATTATACACCGGTCCATGGTAGTCACGAGTTTATATTAACCAATTTTTTTTTATTAAAAACGCATTTAACTTCCACCTCACCTGATGGAAAGTGACAAAGAAGTCGACGATGTAGCATGCACACATAAATAATGCCTATTCACTCTCGCCTTGAAAAGGTCCAAGTTGTAACGTTCAGCGAACAAGTCTGCAGGTAGAGAATTCCACTCCATAGCCGTTCGCCATATAAATGTGAAAACGGAACGCCTCTTGCGAATTCATGGAATATCCACAACATAGGGATGGAGCCCCAGCCCCTGGTCCCCTGAAGATGGAAAGGGGAAGACGGAATTAATTCGTGCAACTCTCTCGCATACTCTCCGTGATAAATCCTGTAGAATACTGACAAGCTGGCAAGTTTACGACGGTGTTCAAGACTCTGTAACTTCGCCTCTTAGTCAACTATAAGCCTCTTGGCACGCTTGTCAATTGAATCCAAGGTGGCAGTTGGTGCGTAGCAGAGCCATCCCATAGGTGGCAGCATACTTCATAGACGACCGTTCAATGTATTTATCACAAAAAAATTTAGCACATTGTAAATGCAGCTGTGTCAAAAAGACAAGTTTGAGCCACTATTGTTGAAAAGCAGCGATTATATATTATTTGCTCAACATTTCAATCATAATGATATAATCAGAATACAACGTTGTAACAATTCAAAAAATACAACCCACGAGCCTTTGTGGCGCTGTATATAAAGCACTATACTTAATGTTTGCAACATCTCGCAATGTATTACATAAGGTAACTTACTATCGATTGTCTTTAAATGCAGCGTACTTGGAGCAAATTCGATGTCATTATTTACATGGATTACATATGTAACGCCAACTCAAATATTACGCCTTTACAATGAGTTTGCAGTGTCAATCGTTGCTGGCGACTGTTAGGATTTAAGTTGCAACATTATGTAGTTTATTAACCGACTTGAAAAGGAGAATATTCTCATTCGACTGTTTTTTTCTATGTTTAAGTTACATTACTCGGACATTTGAGAACAGGTTTCGATGATACTTTTCTTGTTGGAAAGGAGGTACCTCAGCAGTGGTCTTCTTCAAATGTGAAAAAAATATTCTAACTCTAAGGATGGCAAATTAGGGGATGGATTCAGTTTATGAGGTCGGTCTTTTAGTATTAATTTTGATTGTTACAATACTGTTCTCTCTCGTCTCGGTGGTCACGCAGAAGCATCTAATAAGAATGAATGAGAATTTTATTTACTAATATACCGAGGCTTCCAGCAGTAGCCCCGAGAGCAGAGAAGAGATAGCCACCTATATGGTCCTTCGAGTCAACGTCGAGTTATAACGCCTGTGTAAAAAAAAGAAAATGACGTATAGATAGTCCTTAGGTTTTTGCGATTATTGCACATGGGAAATGAGCTATTTTTCCGGATTTTTTCAAACAAACCAATCTTTCGGACCTGTTAAGGGCCCGAAACTTTGGTTTGTTGGAAAAAACAAATATACGCGATTTAGACCTGTAAAAATAGTTTCATTTCCTAGACGTATAGAAAATTTTACTTCTTTGCGATACAGCGAGACGCGCAGCACAATTTGCTAAATATTTGTCGCGGCCTTTTCGGACATTGTAAAGTTATTGTGTGCTTCTGTGCTCTATATGCTCGTGCAAAATTAAAACCAAGGAAAAGTATACCTTAACGACTTTAACATACTGTTGTTTTTACAAAATGTGTACTTTGAACGTTGAGTTATAACTGAACATTTTTTGATACGTTTCGTAGCTCAGATCGATTTAGTTTATTTATTTAGTTCAATATGCCTTTTTTCTCTCAGCTTTTGTTGGTTTCAAAGGCAAATTGTACAAAGTTGTGAGGAAATTTTGCACATTTTTATTTTTAATACGGAGTTAAGATAGCATCTAACAATTTCAGTGTGTTAGAATGGCGTCTAGTTTTTATACTTTCATAAACTTTCTAGCAAAAATATATCGACGCTAGAAAGGAATTTTGTCGTATCTCGAAAAATTGAGAAAACGGCTTTTTACCATACTTGAAATCAGAGAAAAATTCGCATTGTTTGGTTTAGGATTCGTGATGCTACGACGATATATTTTTAATATACGACGTCGATATTAAAATTTGACGAAACACACAAAAAAATGTAAATTGAACTTTACAAGTTTTTCTTTTCGAGGTACGACAAGATTACTTTCTCAGTGTCGGTATCTCCTACTATCACCGGCATTACTGAGTATACCTAGTAAACAAAATTTGGGATAATTTTGGTAAGAACTACGTAAGTCTGATTAATTGCTGGCCACTATTGTTTACTGCACGCAAATTTAAATTTGTTTCCCTTTTTGCGCAATGTCATGCTCTCTTCTCAACTTTGGCAATAGTTTTGTAACAATTTTGATGTACCTTGAAATGGAGGCGCTAATGTCGACTTTAGTCATTAAGGTTTATATTGTTAGTGGAAGAAAAAAGTTCTTTTAATTGTTCAACATAGCGAATTTCGATGTCTAAACAGTCTTTAATAAAATGACAACAAAACACGACATTATCAAACACCAAACAAATTTAAATGTTACTACTTTTTCCGATCTAAACATATTCCATAATTTCATCATTAACATCTAGTCAGCGATCATCGGCCCTGTAAAGATCCCGAAATGTTGGTTTGACCACGTTTGCCAAATGATAAGTTGGAAACTTGTGGCGTGAAGTTTAAGGTTGCTAACAGATTGACTGCAGGTTTGCAGTTAATGCGTGTCGTCGAAAGTGATTTCATGTAGTCGAGGCCTCGTCTTGTTGTTGTTTTCTCGGAGTTGATTACGACTTCACGCATTAACTGCAAATATGTAGTAATTTCGTCTTCCACTCGTGTATTATAACCTAATTAATATAAATACTCTATATTGCACATAAAAACAAAACAGATCTGATCTTGGCGATATAAATCTCTGCGTGGCACTTCAGCTGCTACGGGCAGGCGTCGTCTACCAGGTGCTCTACTAATTCGTTTCGTCACTAGGTATTATAAAAAAAACAACAAAATTCTGCAAGTTATATATATTATAATATAAATATTATAACAAAAGATCTACACTACTTTTGTCTCAATAATTAAGAATCGATACTACCTCGGTTCATATTCAATATTTGTCCCTAATTAATACGGTGCATTGCAGGGACACTGGCTTTATTTCAGAATTAATTTTTTTACAAACGAAAATCTTGCCGTTTGAAAAATGTATATCGTATACTATACGTGTCAAATTTAGTTTAGTTGATACAAAAACAATATTGGTACAGTATACCTATTGAATTCTTGTAAAATTTCAAGGTATGTTTATGTTTTTTTTCTATCGTGAAAATTTTTAGGAATCGTGTTTTCACACCGTATGTATATGTATATATATAAGACAATGTATAAATAAACTTCTTGTGTTGCTCTGAAAATACAAAGATTTATTAGCTAACGTAAGTTTACAAACATATTTTATACTTTACTTTCTAAACGTACAAATTACACTTAAAACTTATTTACCTGAAAATACAAAGAAACGACATTTAAAGTTTATTTACTAGGGTATTCCTTTACATTACTTATTACATAATTTGCATTTTATTCACAAACTGCCATCTTTAAAATCCCTCCTGTTTTATCCACAGTTCACATTAACACCATATTGTTAGAACAGCGCCATCTATCCGTACCTTAAGGTAAAAGATTCTGCTTTACCGATAGACGTCAAAGGAAACATAATATGAACCTAAAGAAATCTAATTTCTTTACATATATATCAGTGTATGTCCTCAATTTTACTATATTTTTTATCTAAAGTGATTGATTCAACACTCACTGT